GAGAGAACATAGAATAGTAGAGTGAACATCTGCTTCTAATAATTATCAGTGTTTTACCTGTACTGTCACCCAGCTCTGTCCTGTCCCCCAACCTGATCACGTATTTTTTGGGAGTTATTTCAATGCAAATACCAGACGTAACACCCCCTCATAGCTGCTTGCCTTCACAAGGAGGCAGCCATGTATGAGAGAGAGTGTGTGTGTATTTGTGACAGTGTGAGTGTGTATGTGTGGGAGTGGGAGTGTGTGGGAGTATATGTGTGACTGCTGCGAGTGTGAGTGTGTGTGTATGTGTGACTGTGTGTGTGTGTGTGTGTGTGTGTGTGTGTGTGTGTGAATTAAAAAGCTCAAGTCTACTTTCTGGTATGGATTCTGTGTTTCCTTTGGCTGTGGGGTCCAGTTGAAGCTATACATGATCACGGCATCTTGTCACTGTTTTGTCATTGTTTTCCTACTTTCTTTGCACTTTTTCTTTCACTGGGATCCCACTGGCCGTCGACACCCCATTTACCAACACTTGGTACATGTTGGTGTCATGGTCCAGGGCTGAAGCACTGAGTCCTTTTATGGAGCCTTTTCCTTGAAAACGTAGCTAAGAAGTTGTTTTGGTTTCACTCCAATGTAGACTTTTCTTTCTGGAGATACAACTTTGTACATTTATGTTGCTCTCTCAAAAGTGAACTGGCTCCAAATGTCTGATCTGGGAATGTCTTTCTGTTAGGCCAACCACAGTGAGACTGGAAATGAAGGGGCCCCGGTGGAGGTGGCTGATGACAAGGCGCTCAGCGGGCTCACCAGGGACCTGCAGAGGAGGTGCGTGTGGGACAATGGGGGGCTGGTGTCAGGGCCCCCATATCACCTGCCATCCTGCCTCTGGCAGGTGCTCTGTCTCCTCCCTGCAGTGATAAGTGAATTAATGCAGACCAACTTTAAACGGGCTTTTTCTGCACCAGTGGTTGGCACGCAACAGGAGATATTTTATTTTATAGATAAGAAACCAGAAAAACCTGCTTATGAAACGCATCTGAAATATGTCTTTGTTTCTCATTAGCTGATTCACAGGACATGTGTGCTCCTGTTGATGAGAGCGCCTTTGCCCTAGCTAAACACTGCCCTTTGTCTCACAGCCTGCCCCCCACCATGGCTCAGAACCTGTCTGTACCCCTGGCCTTCGCCTGTCTCCTGCACTTAGCCAATGAGAAGGTGAGTGACTCTGGTAAGCGTGGTATGTGCTGTGTGTGTCTGCCTGTTTCCGCTTTCTGTTAAATCTTTCATACGATACCTTACGTACAGCGACAGATGCCGTACCCTCAACCCAGAGAACAGACCTGGCCACAAGAAGTAACTTAGGAAAAGGCCATCAGCTGCGATTAGCAGTGAAAATAATGAGGAAGACCCAAATGGGAACATTTAGACATGTCCATTCCCAACTAGGAAACATAAAGTACTTCTACATCATTGGGTGTCAAAAGGCTTTACAGGCCAAATCCTGCCAGTGCCAAGGTCAAGACACGTGGGAAATGAGGCAGAGAAAAGGGGAGATCTGAGGGCAGAAGAAAGACTGATGGAGGCCACGGCCAGCCAGGTGGGGCCACTGGGAACAGTGAGGAAAGTTGGGAATGCAGCTATCTGCCACCAGGGGCGAGACAGCAGAAATACCACCTGTAACAGTGCCAGGTCCCTCGCTGGCCACGCCGGCCAGCAGAGCTGTGGGGCAGTTATTCTAAGAGTAGGCGAAGACCCGTTCTCTTAGGAGCCTGTGGATGTTACCGGGAGGCAGCCTGTGCTTATGGTGCTGCTGGAGACTTGCTGTCCTTTAGTGTCCCCAGGCAGCTGGTCCCTCACACAGACTATGGCACTTAGAGTAGTGGACCCTGGGCTGGGCTGTAGCACGTGCTGTGAGCACACTAGAGCCAGGGGCGCCTAGCTGCCACCACTGCAGATGCTAAACCTCTAGGGCAGGGCCCTGTCCCACAGGTGAGAGGTGGCTATCAGAGTGACAGCTGTGTGAACCTTAACGTGTAGTTAGAGAGGATTGATAAGTTTGGAATGGAATGGTAGCAAAACTGGGGAGCTGCTAGAAGCACCCTGGATTTCCATTGTGCCGGTGCCTGACCTCTGGCTCTGCTTCTCAGGCCTGCCTTTGCTTTGGATTGACTGTCAGGCCCCAAGGAGGGACGGTCCCCAGTAGGATGGCCTGTGTGGCACAGTGGCCAGCCAGTCCCAGAGACCTCCCACTGGGAATCGGGGGCCACATCTTCTCTTACCAACTTCTAAGCCCATGACCTCACTGAAGAAGAAGAAACTGTCCGTTTGATTTGTGGTAGGGACAGATGTAGGAGAGCTGGGGCCAAGTGCCGCTGACCCAAGTGGGGCTGACCTCTGGGCCTGTCACCACCAGGCTGAGTAACAGCTGAGGCCTGAACAGAATGACCCAGCTGGGCTGCCAAGAGCCGTTGTGGCTGGGTGTGGACCCAGGAACAAGTTACACTGCTGCTGGTGGAAAGGCAGTGTCCTGGGCAGCAGTCATGGAGGCTGTGGGAGACGCAGGTGACAGTGTCTCCTTGTGGGTCCTGACATACTAAGGCATTTGATGGCAGAAGCCAACTACATGAGGAAAAAATGGCTAAGAGAAAAAAAAAAAGAATAAAAAAGGAGACTTCGTTATCCTGATGAGAAATCCACAGGTGGCCCTGAAGAGGACCCCTACCTGAGGCCAGCCCCCATCCACCTGACTTTGCCAAGTGTCGCTGCTGAGCTTTTCTGGGGGCCTGGGATCACACCATCCTTATGGATGGAGCTGGTGGCCCCCCCCCCCCGGTGTGTTCTAGCATACACAGGCTCCTGAAGTGTGGGATGCTCCCATAGCAGAGTCCGGAAAGCAGAGTGCCTCAGAATTCTTCCTCGTCCTGTGAGAGCCCCTTGTGGCCCTCCCTTGGGTCCCAAGTAGCCTGGAGCCAAGTAAACACTACCCCTAAGGCCGGCGACATGGCTTCAGCACTGCCCTGCTCCCCCCGTGACAGTGCTGACTTTGTCCCTTTTGCTGTGATAAGTCTCTGAAAGGGGCCCCAGGACGCTCAGCATTTGAAGAATAGGGAGGTGGCCCCAGACTGTGACCTCTTGGTCCGAGCACTGAGGCCATTTTGTGGGCCTGGGTTTGGGCTATGACAGTAACCATGAGAATCTACAGGGGTTTGTGACAACAGAGCTTAGCGCCACCAGGAGGAATCTCTCCACACTCACTACCAGAATGCCTCCCCCACTCTTCCCCTCCCCTCTGGTCACAAGCCCCCTCATGTACCTGTGATGGGGCTTGGCCCCCACTGATGGACGCATGGCCCTGAGCGCCAGTAGTGTGTGACTGATCAGCCACACCTAAGCAACTTCCGGACTCCAGGCCACAGACTTCGCACCTGGGAGGTGTGAGCTGAGCTTTCCATCTGGAGGGGCCCTGGGAAGGGTCGCTGGGGAGGCTGGCTGCTGAGGGCAGCACGTGGCAGCTCTCCGCAGTACCTGGTGGGGGGTGGGTGTGAGTTAGGCAAGAGGGGCTCTGGCTGGTTAGGTCCTGGGACTGGTGAAGTCATGGGTGGGAGGGTGGGAGAAGGCCTGCACAGAGACGGGAGAGCGGCTGTGTGGCAGTGAGGGGAGGGCCAGAGAGGCCACGCGTGGGCGGGTCCGGGAACATGCTGTGGCTCCTGGCGGCCTCCCCATCACAATCACAGGCCGTGTAGCATCTGAGCCCTATACACAGCCTGTTACCGGAACCAGAGGCTCAGGAGACTTGCTTGCTGCTTTTCCCCTGCAATTGGCAAGAATTTGGAACCAGCTGTATCATGAAAATTATATTTGCTGTGAAGTGATTTTACTTACAGTCACTGCCTAGTTACCTCGATTAGCATCTGTTTTATTATACCTGCATTCTCAGTGTACCAGAGTCCATGTGTCTTTGATCTTCCTTCAGAATCTAAAGCTGCACGGAACCAAGGACCTTTCTGATGTTCTTGTGATGCAAGGGGATTGAGTTCGCCGGGAGAAGTCAGCAGAGGGGGCTCGTCACCTCCTCAGTGACAGGACAGCGCCACTCTGGGCGCTACAATGCGGGGCTCATGGCAAGGCTGTAGCCAGCTTCCGAGGTGCCCGTGTGTGTGTCACTCTTCCCCTCTGTCCCTCACAGTGGGGGAACCAGCACCCAGAAGCTCCGCCCTCGACTGGAGCTTTCTGCCCGTCTAGGCAGGAGGAGAGGGCGAGGGGTACGTTCCTGTGTCCATTCTCTGTCCGTGTATAGTTTTAGTCTCCTAACTTGATCTATTTTCCAGACTTTGCTCTTGTAGAAAATGAGTTCCCAGTAGGTATTTGTGATCCTTTAGTAGCTACCTAATTCATGTACATAAAATACATCACGTACACTTATAAATGTGTATATAATGCTTAAAAATAAAATCATTCTAAATAACATGTTGGCAAAATACTTGAGTTCCCACTAGATAAGTCTTAGACTTGTCCTTACGCTCAAGGGGGTGCAGTCTTGGTAGGTCTACAGGATACCCCCATGTCTGTGTGAGGCAGGAAACGCGGAGATGCCAGGTCACAGGGTAGCGGAGCAGAGAAGTTACTGCCTGGAGGGTGACGGCTATAAAAGTTGCTGACATTTCTCAAGTGGTCCTGTGTCCCTTCAAGTGCACGCCTCATTTAGCCTCACATTGCTGTTCACAGAGAACGTCACTGTCCTTCTCACTCCCTTTCACAGCAGAGGCACAGGACTCAGAGGCCAAGGAACCTGCGGGCGGCAGACAGCTGACGGTCTAGCGCTCAGCATGGAAACAGGACGCCTGCTTCTGGAGCCTGTTTGCAGCCACTGTGCCACATGCTGCTCGGCTCACAGGCTCAATGCTTGCTGGTGTTGGTCCAGGTGATTCAGACCTTGGCAGGGCCTGGGTCTCCACCAGAGCATCCTGTTACCATCCGTTTTGGATGTTACGTCAGAAGCAGTGAATCCTGTAATTGATTAGTCCTGATAATAAAGAACTTGCTCCTAACCTAAAAAAGACAAAACAGAAAACACGTAGCCCCCCTCCCCAGGAGTGTGCTGCCCAAACTCCCACATATCACCTCCTCTGCTCTGTTGTGAGGGTAGACTTGTGGACATGCCGTGAGCCCACACCCTCCAGCACATCTCCCTGGCTGGGGCAGGGATGCTGGTCCTGCTCTGCTCACTCCTGGGGGTAGGACTGACCAAGGGTCCGAGCTCCATCCAGCTCCTCAATAGTGGGGGCTGAGATGGGGCTGAGCCACCCGTAAAACTGGCCAGGGTGGTACCAGCTTCCTCAGTGACCTCCCCTGCCCACCACCCTGCCTCTCCCAAGCTTGTGCCCCCCAGTTACATGGTTGCTGTGTCAGAATTCGTTTGGCTGCATGCAATAGAAAACCCAAATAAGTGGGTATGCAAGTGGGCTAGTGTGGTGGTTCCGTGAAATCCTAAGACCAAGGATCATTCTAGCTTCTCTGCCATCCCTAATGTGTAGCTCTCATCCTTGTGTCTCAGTGTGGCTGCTGGACTCCAGCTACACATCCATATGCTAGGCAGCAGGATGAGAGGTTGGGGAGAAGGCAGTCACCAACCTACTTTCAGTCTAGATGTGCCTTTTCTGGACATTTCACATAAATGGAATTGTGCAATATGTGGTCTTTGGTGAGTGGCTTCTCCCACTGAGTCCAGTGTTTTCGGGGTTCACGTAGCATGGGTCAGCACTTCATTCCTTGTTACGACTGAGTGTAATAGTCCACTGTATAGATGGGCCACATTTTGTGTAGCTATTGCTCAGTTGCTGACATGTCGCTTCCACTCGCTGTTATGAATATGCTGCTAGAAACATTCATGCTTGAGTTTTTACGTGGACACACTTTTCCTGCTTTTGGAAATGTACCTAAGAGTGGAATTGCTGGGTCATCTGGTACCCCAGCCTTCTGAGGAACCGCCAAGATGTTTCCAAAGCGGCCGCACCAATTTTACACTCCCACCAGCAGTGTCCAAACAAGTGATCCATTTTCCTCGTGTTTGCTTGTAGTTGTTCCTTGGGACTCTGGCTGTCCTAGCGGCTGTGAGGTGGCGTTTTGTGATGGCTCTGATTTGTATTTCCCTGGTGGCTAATGATGTGTACTGACTTCCCAGTCTAGTTTCTCTGTTCTTCAGATCAGGTCGTATCACTGACTTGTCTTCAGCTTCACTGGTTCTTTTCTCCTGCCATCTCCAATCGTCTCGAGGCCATGAAGCAAAACTTTTGTTTCAGTTATTATTGTTTTCAGCTCTAGGAATTCCACTTTAAGGTAGTTTTTATTTCTCTCCCTAGTCTTCATCGACTATACTTTCCTTCAATTTCAACATATTTTCCTTTTGATTCTTTTCAACAATCCTTTGAATTCTGTGCTGAATCCAAAATTTGGGCCCATTTAGCATCAGTTTCCATTGATTGCTGTTTTTTCTGGGTATACATTTATATTTCTGTTTTTTTGCATTTTAGTAATTTTGGGTTGAAATTTTGATATTGTGGATAAAATGTTGCAGTGACTTTGGATTCTGTCATATTCTGCGGATGCTCGGCTGCTTTACTCTGGTAAGCAGTTACTCTGCCTGGATTCGAGCTGCAAGCTTTGCACCCCCTCCAGTATGCAGTTACTGCCTCCTGTTCCTATAGTGACCCACCACTGCTTTTCAGGCCCCACTCCACGGGCCTGCCCTCTGCCTGCAGAATTTGGGGGTGGGCCTGGGGTTTGGGCAGAGATGAGACTCCTCCTCTCTCTGACGTCCTCACTCAAAAAAGATCTCCCCCTGCCCCCCCATCTTCCAGCTGCTCTGCCTCATCTGGGCTCTATCTGAGCCTATCCAAGTTTGGAGCTTGGCCATGAGGTGCCCGTGTGGCAGGGATGCATCTCAGCTCTCGCTCTGCACATTGCTCTCGGAGGAGTAAACGCCTCTTCACCAGCTCCTCGCCTCCACCTCGCTGGGCTATCAGCTGGGGAAGGCAGCTCATGCTCAGACTTGGCGTCCTGTTCCTTCTGAGGGTCTCATGCTACAGGGTTTCCCCCTTTAAGTTCTCACAGCTTTCCAGCTCAGGCCTGGCACCTTTAGCCAGTAAGATGGCTTCTCCCATCCCTGTGTCCACAGCTAGACTTGGGAATCAGGCAGCCCCGGGGCCAGGAAGCCCTGACCTGCAGTGCCTGCCTTTCCAGTGCTGTCGGTTTCTGTTTGCTTTGTTTTCAACTAAAACTCTGTCTGCTTCCTAGTGTCTTTAAATATTTTTTTAATCCAGTGTTACCATTGTCATCTTGGGGCTTTACATGCTAATTCACCCCTCCGCCACTACCAGAAGGTCATTTCCCTGCTCCCTTTTATTGTTTTTGTGGTGCGTGTGTGTGTCAGTCAGGAGTCGTAGCTCTAAAGGCACCTGGTGTGGAACATTGGACCAGGCCCCTAGCCTCCCCATGCCTCAGCTTCCTCCCTTGTTCAGCAGAATTAGCCCTTCTGTCCCCACTTCACAGGCCTACTGTGTATGGAAGCGGCTTGGGGGAAGTTGAAGTTGTCCTAGCATAAAATGGTATCTACCACAGAAGCTTCCCCAAATTTCCCAGATGTGACATCATTCAAAATCCCCTGCTGAGGCAAAATGGGAGGCCACTGCTTCCTGCGGAGCTGGCACACACTTACTGAAGTCCTGGTCCTCAGATGACTTCAGTGACTCAGCCAGGAGCTGTTTGCTCCCCTGCCGAGCACACACGCTGGCCACACTATCTGCGCCCGACTGCATCCTTCGGGCTCCCCCGTCACCAGACTTCCAGCTCCTTCTGAGTCCTGAGTGCACCACATTTTATCCTTTCCAACAAAAGGGATTTATAAAATAAAAGGTGATTTCATTCGTGTACCTTTGTAAGATGTTCACGAGTAAGCCCTCAGATAAGGGAGGAGAGAAAGCCTTTCATTAAATGGGACAGTATGGCATTGTGTGTCGTAGGCGAAGCGGGGTGACATGTCAGCACTGTTCCTTCCAGATTCCTGTCTTCTTGTCCACGACGTCCCTGCCTTCTCTCCGCAAGGACAAGTCAGGCTTTGTGTGGAGCTGCAGTGGCGGTGGGGGTCATTTCCAGTGGAGACGAACTTCCTTTGTTCTGTGGGAACGGTTGGCTGACAGGTTTGTTTCTGCAGCCCTGCTGAACAAGCCCTTTTTATTTCCCAGGGAGGAAATCTGTGTCCCAAATGTCTTTGCTTGTCGGGAGGTGCTGGGACCAGTGTCCTGGGTGTCCAAGTCCACGCCCGCAGTGCCCTTTCCTGACAGAAGCCCTTTTCCTAGACAGAGTTTCCCTTGAATGACGAATGGGATTCATTTACAACTGGCTTTCCCAGCGTGGGATCTGGTAACAGTCCCTCAGGAGTGGAGAAGCTGCCAAACCAGGGAACAGGGAGGCCAGGGCAGGAGAGGTCAAGGAGCCTCAGGGCAGGAAAGCAGGTGGTGGCGAAGGAACAGGTGAGCCCACTACAACCGGGCGGCCTCAGCGGAAAACAGGACTGCCACCCTCTGTCAAGCGGCAGCCCCGTTTGGGAAACCACATCTGCTCTTACGGATAAATACACATGAAATCCATGCCACTGCCTTAAAGCTGGCCCCCTGGGTCTCAGTCACCTGTGCAGAATAGACAGGCTTTGTACCCATTAGTCTGGTCGGAGGACAAAAAGCTGCCATGTGAACAGAGCATGTGTGGTAAGAGCTGTTTACTGGGTATACAGAGTTGTTGACACTGAAAGGATAGAAAGAGAATCTCAGGTTCCGGTGAGTAGCAGCTGCGGTGAGTGCACCACACACACACACACAC